AGCTTTTTTTCAACCTTGGCACTATTGACCTTTTGACTCAGATGATTCTCTGTTATGAGGGACTGTCCTATGCAATATATGATGTTTACAGCAAACCTGGCTGCCTAAGCACTCTGCCAGTATCACCCTCCAGTTGTAACAACCATAGATGTCTGCAGACATTTCCACTCCCTCCTGGAGAACCACTGGTATACAATGACTCTAGTAACAAACTGATACTTCATTATGGACATAGCAGTAAGCCCAGTTGGGAATAAACTAGAATTAAGAAAATTAATCTTTTGAAGCCATGATTTTAATGATGTTGACTACAATAAAATAAGATTAAAAAAAACACCTGGATACCTCCTTTCATTTTTTGTAATGGAATTTATTCTGTATGCAATCAAATTACACAGAACTTATATACCTCCCCCCAAAATTACACACATATCTATTTATAAGTTACAAATATTACATTAAATATATGGTAAGCATTTACTGTGCAACTGGTCCGATGGTAAAAATGTAACAGCACTATACTCCTATTCCTGCAAGAATGTAGAGGAACCATGATCTCACTCATTTGTGGAATATAATGAACAACATAAACTGATGAACAAAAACGGATCCAGAGACAGAGAAGCATCGATCAGACCGTCAAACCTCAGAAGGAAGGTAGGGGATGGTGGGGGTAAGGGGGAGAGATCAACCGAAGGACTTATATGCAAGGATATAGGCCTAACCAATGGACACAGACAACAGGGGGGTGAGGGCATGAGTGGGGGGGGTGGGGAGGTGGAGGGTAATGTGGAGATAAAGACAAATATGTAATAACTTAATAAAAAAATAGCTTTACCTGCACTAGGTTATAGGAATTTTTAAGCTCCACTATAATCTTTTTTTAAAAAAATATATATAATGTATGTGCTCCCAGACCATGTGTGTGTACACCCTTCTGCAGAAGTAAAGATATTTGCCTGACAAAAAAATAAAGAAATAAAGAATGTACAGGAACTAATTCTTTAGTAAACCCAAAATCTTAAAAAAGGAAAGGTAATCAATATCAACACCTTGTCTCTGTAACAGCACTGAACCAGTTTTCTTAGAACAGCCCCATCTTTTTGCTTCATTCATGCGTATATAAAGTTTTCAGAAAAGCATTTAACTTCTGCCCCTAGTTAAGAAAAATTTGATAGTACTGGTATAAAATGTCCATCCTCATCACTTCAAAGGAAACATGTCAGAATCCAATTATGTATTACTCTACATATATACTATATGTATACTATACATATAGCATCACAAATCTGACCAGTTAAAAAAATTGTTATTCACCTCTAATAAGAGCTCCCTCCACAGGCATCCAATTCATTAGCCCATACATTCTGTGGTGAGTTAAAGATGGTCACAAATTCTTTGCCAATCTTCCTATCAAGAGGCAGACTCTATTTCCCTTTCCTCTGAATTTGGACTAGCCTTGTAACCTGCTTTGACCAAGAGAACATGGCAGAAATAATGCTATGCCAATTCCAGACCTAAGCCGTAAGGACTGGCAGCTACATTCTTGGGATCCAGTTATCACATAAGAAGCTTGGCTAGAATATGGAATAAGGAGAGAGCATGTGGTGAGAGAACCAAAAGATGAGACACCAAATGGAGTAAGAAGCCATATGGAGGAAAACCAGGCTGCCTTGGATGGTTCCAGCCCAGCTAAACTCCTAGTTTAATGCAACTGCATGAGTGACTTCGCTGACACCAAATATAGCAGAGGACGCACAAAATCATGAGAAATAGTAAATAATTTTAAACCACCAAGATTTAGTTGTTTTGCTATGCAGCAAAATAAATGGTCACTTTTCAACTAAGAGATTCAACCTTCCCTCTCTCTCCCTCTCTCTCTTTTTGTTAATCCTCACCAGAGGACATTTTTCCCATTGTGGGGGGGGGGGGGGGGGGGGGGGGGGGAACATCAATGTGAGAGAGACACATGGATTGGCTGCCTCCTACACCCACCTTGACTGGGGTCAGGAGGTGAGCCCCCAACCCAGGTATGTGCCCTTGACCGGAAATCAAACCTGTGACCCTTTGGTTCACAGGCCAACGTTTTAAACTCTGAGCACCACCAGGCAGGGCTCAACCTTCTCTTTATCAAGAAGATACCTAAACCATTTTTTTAAATGTAAAAAGGCAGGAAGGGCCCTGACCAGTGTAGCTCAGTTGGTTGGATCATCGGCCTGTGTACCAAGAGGTGGCAGGTTCGATTCCTGCTCAGGGCACATACCCAGTTGGGGCATGTATGAAATGCAATGAATCAATGTTTCTCTATCACATCTCTCTCTCTCCTCTCTCTACTCTCTCCCTCTCTCCCCCTCCCTCCCTCCAAGACCAAATTTTAAAAATATATTACAAAATTAAAAAAGGCAGGAAGGGCTAAGAAATAGCACCAAATAGCAGCCCCAAAATAACTTGAAAATATCATTAAATCTGCAAACTGTTTCATTTGCCTACTCCTTAAACTAAGTTTTTCCATGTCATCAGGAATCTAAAGCAAGCATGTCAAACTCGTGGCCGGCAGGCTGCATGCCTCATTTATTTAAACGAGGCATGCAGCCCATTGGCCGCGAGTTTGACATGCTTGATCTAAGAACTAACATATATCTGCTTCATCAGTTAAATGCTTGGAGATAAAGGAAAAGAAAAAAAAAACCTAAAAAGGCAAGCAATTTCAACATGAAACAACTATAACTCAAGCTAAGGTAAGTTTTTGCTTTGGAAATTACCCCTTTTGGTTATACACCCTTGAAAAATTCCAAAGGAGCTTTCAGAGGAAAGGCCAAATAAGTAATCAGTCACTATCCTAATAGTGATGACAATCTATATAGATAAAACCCTACCATGCAAAGAGACCAAATGGTGGAACAACCGGTCACTATGATGTGTGCTGACCACAAGGGGGTGCACGTGGAACATGGTGGGCGTCAGCAGCAGGCAGCAGAGTGCAGAACATGGACGGCATCGACCGCAGTGGGATGGTGGAACAAGGGTGCCAGACCAAGGCAGGGCGCCAGTCACTGTCATTGGGGCAAGCCGCTGGTGGTTACTAAAAATTCTTTGCTCTGGTGTGCCATGGTCCCGCCGGGCGCTCGCAGCTGCTGCCGGTGCCAGTCCCACTCGCATCCACTGCCAGAGCCGGAGCCACTGCTCGAACCCACTGTTGGCACCCAGTGCTGGTCTCGATCTCTTGGCGCCATCAGCGGTATGAGCAGTGGCTGCCAGCCCCAATCGCCCCTGAGGGCTTCTCCACCTCTACCTGCTCCTAAGGGGCAATCAGGGCAGCAGCTGCCACTCACACCCACCTCAATCACTCCACACTATTAGCAGGTGTGAGCAGGGCCGGCGTCGTCAGCACGTGGAAGCGGTGGCAGCAGGAGCGGGGCTGCCGGCAGACAGGAGACCAGGAGCCCGGGGGCCACAGTGGGAGGGGCCAGGCAGGGTCGAGGAGGATGGGCCGAGAGCCACCCCTGTGCCCACCGCAGTCTCGCAGCCCAGTTCCTTTCAAAGTACATGAATTTGTGCACGGGGCCCCTAGTTCAGAGATAAGTTTAATGGTGGTAACTCATTTTTGGTCCCAACTCTATATTGTTGATATACAAGCCCAGATGGTATGGCTCAGTGGTTGAGCATCGACCTATGAACCAGGAGGCCATAGCTTGATTGCCAGTCAGGGCATATGCCAAGTGTTGCAGGCTCTATCCCCAGTGTGGGGTGTGCAGGAGGCAGCCGATCAATGAGTCCCTTTCATCACTGATGTTTCTATCTTTCTCTACCTCTCCCTCTCTGAAACCAATAAAAATATTAAATAAATATTAAATAAATAAATAAAAAGGGGTGAAAAAAATGGAGGAGCTATAAAATAAACACCTTTTAAAGTTATATTATATCCTTCAGGACATTTAGTGAGGAGAAAGAGCTTAAATTTGATTTAGTTCTCCCTTTTCCTCTTCACAATTAGGAAGCCCATGCAGCCATACCAAGATTTCAGTTGCCCAATATGCATGTAATCTAAGAAATGCATGTGATTTTTCTTTAACAGGGAAAAAATATAAAGCCCCTATATTTTCCTGAAGTTTCACTTCAGATTCTCTTTCCTAAGGTCTAAGAAAGCTACGTAATTTTACCTATTAACAACTATTATTCACATTGTTGACATGAATTAAATACTCCATTAAAAAATATGAGTGGTCACAATTTATATACAACAATACCTTTAACATCAAGACTAATCAAATTAGTAAACAAAAGCATGGACAGGAAACTTGAAAATTCAGTGTTGTTCTTCTATTAAGTCATCTATACATCTATATATATAAAAAGCCAGAGATTGTAACGGCCATAACCACCGTAATGACTGGTCACTATGACGCCCACTGTGGCCAGCGAACTGGCCCAATCGGGCTGGGGCCAGCCAGCCAACCTTTAGTGGCCCCTCCCTCCAGCCAGCCCTGCCCCTGATTGGCCTCTCCCACCCTGATCAAGGGCGGGCAGCTGGCCAAACCCTCCCCCCGACCACCACAGCCCTTTCCCCCAGCTG